TGGCGTGATCTTGGCTCACTGCAACCTTCACCTGGGTTCAAGCAATTCTCCTGCCTCAGCCTCCCGAGTACTCAGCTGGGACTACGGGCATGTGCCACCATGCCCAAGTAATTTTTGTATTTTTAAAAGAGATGGGGTTTCACCATGTTGGACAGGATGGTCTCGATCACTTGACCTTATGATCTGCCCGCCTAGGTATCCCAAAGTGTTGGGATTATAGGCATGAGCCACCATGCCCAGCCTATAATGTTAATGTTAATGGCTTAACATTATGTATTAATATATTCTTAACTTCCCCAATTAATTTGAAATGATCTTGCTAGTACATACAGTTTTTAAAAATATAGTAAGAATTTCATTGTAATATATAATGATGGGGCTCAGTTCTTATTCATTTAAATAATTACTCTTGAAGAAACTAATACTGAAACTGCAGTATTAGTAAACAGGTAAACAGTTTAGACAAGAAAAGTTAAACAAGACCTAGGGAATCTTTAGGTCACAAATGAGTGAAAATAGGGCCAGGGATGCTGGCTCACTCCTGTAATCCCAGCACTTTGGGAGGCCAAGATGGGAGGATGGCTTGAGCTCAAGAGTTCAAAACCAGCCTAGGCGACATATGCGAGACCTTGTTTCTATAAAATAAAGAAAAAAAGAAAGAAAGATGAGTGAAAATAAAAATCACTTATCAGGCTTTGAACTAATCAGTTCTCTAGCTCTCTTCTTTCTAGTTTATACTTACCACAAAACAAAGTGGACAGAGAAAGGGTTGAAAGGAAAAAGTAAAACAAAAATGTAGGGAATACTATACAGATGGAATCCACAATTCTGACTAAATAAAATTACTATTTTAAATTCAGATACTTACCCAGGAGGTAGAGGTTCTGGTCTATCCCATGTTGTTCTTTTCTCAACATGATCTACATAGTAAACTCGTCCGTGCTGGTCCACTCTCTGCTCCCAACTTAAACACAAAATTAAAAGGCTCATAGGATACTTGCATGAGTTACTTGGCTTTTAAATTCTGTCTTTGCCTTTTTCCCTTAAATGACTGTATTACTGAACTAAGGCAAATAAGGTTGTCAGTTTAGAAAGATGATACAAATACAATTTAGGAATCAAGGGAAGAAATGTAAACATCAGAGGGTGGCACACAATGAATTCAATTTCTTCTATGCAAGTAACTGCTCTAGGAGAAAACATGTTTCTAAAGAGACTTGAGGTCGGTCTACAGGATTTGACTGGAAAGGAATGGCCAGGCGCAGTGGCTCATGCCTGTAATCCCAGCACTTTGGGAGGTCAATAGGCACATCACTTGAGGTCAGGAGTTCAAGACAAGCCTGGCAAACATGGTGAAACCCCAACTCGACTAAAAATACAAAAATTAGCTGGGTGTGGTGGCAAGCACCTGTAGTCCCAGCTACTTAGGAGGCTGAGGCAGGAGAATCACTTTAACCTGGGAGGCGGAGGTGGCAGTGAGCCAAGATTGCACCACTGCACTCTAGCCTGGACAATAAGGCAAAACTCAATCTCAAAAAAGAAAAAAAAATTAGCCAAACAGGTGGCAGGTGCCTGTAATCCCAGCAAATCTGGATGATGAGACAGGAGAATCACTTGAACCCGAGAGGTGGAGATTGGAGTGAGCCAAGATCCCACCACTGTACTCCAGAATGGGCGACAGAGCAAGACTCTATTTCAAACAAACAAACAAAAAAAGCAAAACAAAAAAACTACACTTGAATATCTTAAAAATAATCTATGAAAATAATCTTAAAATAATCAGTAGAAATTAAAATGGGATTATGAGCAGAAATTTTCTCAGTTTTCTGAATTATCTATCATTTTGCTATAGTGATTCCCCTCCCCCAAAGATGGAGTTTTACTCTGTTACAAAGGCTGAAGTGCAATTGTGTGATCTCAGCTCACTGCAACCTCCGCCTCCCAGGTGCAAGTAATTCTCCTGAGTAGCTGGGACTAAAGGTGCCCACCATTATGCCCAGCTAATCCTAGTACTTTCAGTAAAGATGGGGTTTCACCATGTTGGCCAGGCTAGTCGCAAACTCCTGACCTCAGGTGATCCACCCGCCTCAGCCTCCCAAAGTGCTGAGATTACAGGCATGAGCCACCGTGCCCAGCCTATAATGATTTTATGATGAAAATAAAATTCAATTTTAAAAAGGGATTTTCCCCTTCAAAGAAAAAGCAATTGGAATTAGGTGATTATTTTATTAATTGGCCTTGGTTAACATTCAGGGTCCTTTGGTGAAAAAATATATTTTTCCACTTTGCCCTCAAAACAAAAGACAGGATTTCAAATATGGTGTATTTTCCTTGTTCATTTTGACTCCAGATTCCCCCCAAATCAGTTATAACATAAAAACAGTTGGCCGGGTGCAGTGGGTCATGCCTGTAACTCAGCAATTTTGGAGGTTGAGGTGGGAGGATCACTTGAGGTCAGGAGTTCAAGACCAGCCTGGCCAACATGGTGAAACCCCATCTCAACTAAAAATACAAACATTAGCCAGGCGTGGTAGCGCACGCCTATAATCCCAGCTTTAGGGAGGCTGAGGCAGGAGAATTGCTTGAATCCAGGGGTCAGAGATTGCAGTGAGCCAAGATTTCACTGCTGCACTCCAGCCTGGGCAACAGAGCAAGACTCCATCTCAGTTATTGGAACAATGGAGTTTACTTTTATTTTCCTTGTTAATAAGTATATGAAGCAGCCAAAAGCCTAAAGACAATGTATGTTAAAAGTTACTCACCCAGGTGGCAAGGGAGCTTGGGTTACAGGATTTAATGGCCTAGGGCCTGAGCCTCCAGATATAGTAAGGGGAATTATTAATCCAGATGTTGCTCCTTCAGATGTATTTGTATTTGTCGGCGGCAGAGAGCCTGTACTAGACCCATCACTTTCAGAAGTGGTAGACGGTGAACCATTGACAGATGCTATAAAAGATTTGAAGAAAATAGGAAAAGAACTTTTATTTTCTAAAATTCAGGATAGAATTTTAACCATAAAAAATAAAAAGGCAGATGATAAATATAAAACTTAAGATGTGGATACACAGTTGAAAATTACTTAAAGAAATAATGAGAAATAATGTTCCCTCTTAATAGGCTTGTTTACTTCTTCAGCCCCGTCTACCCCTACATCCCATTATTAATTACAAGGCATGTACAGATTATTTGAGGAAATAAAAACGTTTAGAATAGAAAAGCATTAATATTCCTTGGTATTTTAAGTTCATTTATTAATTTTCCAGCTCCTTAAAACTGCTTTCCTATGAATCCCTGCAGATTACAGACCAATTTTTTTGATGTTGGTTATAATATGGAAGGTCTGACTGATAGGCAATAATCTTCTTACAAATAGTGACTAGTCATGTATTAAACCTTTAAGAAATACTTGTGAGCCGGGCGCGGTGGCTCAAGCCTGTAATCCCAGCACTTTGGGAGGCCGAGGCAGGTGGATCACGAGGTCAAGAGATCGAGACCATCCTGGTCAACATGGTGAAACCCCGTCTCTACTA